CCTGGTCAACCAGCTCGGATGAAACCACCACCAGTTTCAGGCCGGGGGGGAACATCCCTATTCACATTCAGCTACTCATGCATGTTAAAGCATAATTCAGCATGAATGTTCCTGCCGAGGTCTGAGCGCCAAAGACTATACCTTCTTATCAATAAATTCTTCTAATTATCTTTTCTCTCTGTATGAGTTTTTCAGATTGAAATGTATGATAAGGTTTTCTGTAATTTGGATGTGCTTCAATCCAATGTAGGCAGAGATCTAGCTTCTTAACCTCTCATGGCCAAGTTTTAAAGGCTGGTTGTGGAGTAACCTATTTCTAAAGGTGAAAGATTTTTCAAATTCTGCAGAGTGGGAGAATAGAGATGTTCTTCTTCTAGAATATTATTTTTACACAAAAAGTAATGTGGTGCAAATCCTCCAAAAAGTTTTTAGGAAGGTGTTTTTTGTTTTCTTTTTAGTCAGCATTTTTGTTTAGTCTTCTCCTTATTGTTGAACTGTCAATTTCTTTTGCAAGAAAAGTAGACTCTCCTTTCTGGGTTATTTTCTGATCCTTAGTTGATTCGCTGATCTAATCATGGAGAAATTTTGCTAGGCTACAGTTTTAATGTTTTAAAGGTTCAGAGACAATTTTCTACATTGTCTGGTTATAACGAGCGGTAATCAAGATACTACTTCCTCTTATCTTGGACCACTCTGCAAACATAAGAAGCATTTCTTTGTAAGGACAATTAGTTATATAATCTAAAAGGCCTCTCTAATATAAATAAGCTCACAAATACATAATTTTACATCTTTTCAGATTTCCTTCTTGGTACTGCAGTTGCAGCGTAGCAGTAAATTGGTGGGTACTGGGTGGGATCTGTAGCGAGCATGAGTCTTGCTCTCTTCTGGCATTATGCAGTGTAAACTGAGTCCAGATCACCACGTTGTTTAAGTCCATCCTGCTTGTGAAACATCCATGCTATCAGGGGTTAAGCTACCATTTTGAATTGAAAAAGCTTCCTGGATGCGAAGGAAAACATCTTCAAACTTGTTAAAAATGTCCAGTGGAATGTTTTTTAACCTTTTTTGGAATGACTATGACCTGGATGACTGAGACTCTTCACCAGCAAGCTGCCATTAGAAGGAGCTAAGCGTTGTTTCCCATAGAACTCCTCTTACACTTATAAGTAAAGATTAATTACATTTTCTTATTAAAAATCCTTATGTTCAAATCCCAACAGAAATGTTGTATTATGTGTGTTTAGGGAGCACCCCATTCAGTCTCCACCAAATTGACTCAGTCTATCTTACTGCCTATGTGTAGAAAAGATCCAGGAAGGCACCAGCAAAACATATGAAAACAAACGGTGTGAAGAGGCGAGACGAGGTGATGAGAGAACAAAAGAGAAAGGAAAAGATGATAAGAAGCTACCCCAGCAGTGCCGAGAAGAAAAGACAAAAGAGAGAAAATGCAAAGACTATGAGAGAAAGAAACTAAAGAAAAGAGGGGGACCATAGAAGTAAAAAGGAGAGACGACAGGAGGGATGGACAAAAGGAAAAACCTTTTGCTGTGGCCCTGCAGAAGTTTACAAGCAGATGAGAAGATCTTCCAGTCTGTTTCCAGCTTTGTGAAAAAAAAAAGAGCTGTATTATCCCTTCTTCAGCAGATGGGGTGTGTTTTCAGTCCAGTAAAGGCCACAGGAGGCGTCAATCCCTTGGAACCTCCACCTACTCTCCATGTCTGCAGAAAGGATCATGTTCATTCTTCATGGATATCATGCCGTCTGCTATGACCTTCTTGGTCTTGCTGGTGTTCAGATTAAGGTTTGATCCTCTGTTATATAGGCGCCACTACAATGGTGTCATCTACAGACTTTAAAACCATGTGAATTTTAAGGTAAAGATACATTTGCACCCATGCATGAGCCTCATAAGAAGTGATTAAGGTTTCTGGATAACACCAATGTGTTGGTTATGCTGGTTTTAGAAGGAAATAAAACTAGCAAAGAATTTAAACTAAAATCAGCAATTCCTCTTTCACCTCATACATTTCAATAAGCTTACAGATCAGGTTCCTGTTTTCCTGTATATCTATACATTTAATGTTAAATAAATGACTTTTCATGTTCCTTTGTGTCATATAAACATGTAAATAAATAAATGAGGTATGATAATTATCCAAAACCTAAGCAGATAACCATTCCAACATCAAATATCCTGCCATGTCAGATCAGTAGAAATAGCTTTTAAATAAATGTAATGGTTGGTTAAACTGAGCTTTTTTTCTAGTTTTACATTTCTGTGTTGATGCGTGTGTACTCAGTGCACAGCTTGTTCTACAGCCTCAAACAGTCCCTGACCTAAAAAGCAGGCTAATTGCAGGTGTGGAAGGAAAGAACAGCTGCTCCTAAAAAAACAACAAAAAAAGAAACCGTCATCCTTCTGTCTGAACAACAGAACGTAATAATTAGCTGTAATACCTCCAATCTAACAAGCATAACAACAAAGATTAATTTCTATTTGCTTTTTGAGAAAAGTTATGCTGTATATGAAAATAAAAAAGAAGCTGCTTCCAAATGATAACATATTTTGAAATATATTAGTTGCCTTATAACATATTGCTCAAACTTAAAGTTTTAGGCTGATTTTATAATGTTTTGCTATGAAACTATCAACTAGAAAAATGCAAGCAATCTCACAGTACACATTTTTTTTTAATTCATGTGAATTTCATTAATAACTTTTGAATAATTTTCTTTAAAAAAACATTTTTTCTTTACCATCGTCATAAAATATATATTAGCTAATATCTGGTGACGTTAGATAACTTTAGGTAATGATAATATTAGCTAAGCATCCCGATTAAATCTTAACTATATTTTCTTTGTTATTTGAATACCACAAAGCAAGTAAAAGACCACATTACAAACACATAAATCCTATTTTTGATTCCTTACTAACTTCAAAAATAACATAAATATGTTGTTTTTTATTTGAGATGGAAAGAATAAAATGCCAAAGAATAAATGCTCAAATTAAAAGATTAAGTGAAATAGCTTTATTTTATAATTAGTTATTGTACGTTCCACTTGTGGAAAATAATCTACACTTTTGAATGAGAGGGGTACTCAGGGTAAGACAAAACGTCTAAAGGGATTCGCAAGTCAAAAAAGGTTGGGAAACTCCGGGTTAGATTACTGTAACAGTTATTTCCTGGTTTTCATAAAAAAAAAAAAAAAAAAAATCTGCTTCCTGAATTCTTACCAACATGAAGATGGTTTATTATATCACTCTAGCTAACAATACGCGGATTGCAACAGGGTTTAAAAGTTCTTCTCAAGCTCTTAAGTTCTTCTGCTTTGTAAAGCACTATCTGCTCATTGG